GATAATCCATGGAACAAAAGAGAACTGATTTTGGTGCAAGTGTGAACAGAGTCATCTGCTGTTCTGTAAGTAACTCAAGGAGAAAACCCAAAAATCAAATATGTTAAATTGAATGAACAACGTCCTCATTGGTCTTTAGGAGGAAACAAGTGAAGAGGTGTTGTAAACCCAACCTCATGGCTTTTACCGGTAGTCCATAACTTTGAAACAATTAACGATTTTTATCAAATTTTAATGTAATATTCTTCTTTGTATCTTGTGAGGAGTCAACCTCTTTTAATTGGTGACTTTGTTTATTGTATTGACATGTTTCAATTTTTTAAATGCAACATCTTTTTCGACCCGGCCAACCTCACTAACAGTAAGTTGACCTTTCATATTATTACCATCGTACAAAATGTGTAGCTTTTCCCTGAAAATGATAATAAACATTATCGAAATATTGGTATAACTTGTGGAGAATGAATGCTAGCGACGACCTATTAAGGCGCACAACATCCCACCCACCCGCTCCGCTCCTGTCTATTTTAGTTAGGGTTCTTTAATATTCTTCTTAAGTTCTTTTGGGTTTATACTATATTAGAGATCACATCGCCTATTGTTGGATTTCACAAGCCAGTTAGTATATTAGGTCTTATATTACAGTTTACCAGCGAATAACCGTTCTTCTAAAGGGGGGGCAGCTGCCCCTTCCTGCCCGTATCATGCTACGTCCATGGTGCTAAGTACGTGTTTACACACTAGTTTCGCCAAACTTCCATCAACTCAACGAGAAGAGGACCCGTAATAGGTCATTGGAAGTCCTCATTGGCCAATAATAAGAATACCCAGTGATCTGAAATCAACAAGTAGGAAGTAGTGTGAAAGGTTCGGGCAGCTTTATAGAGTATCATAAAGATATCAGAAGCATTTCTAATAACGTATGTAAAACCTATCGTCTTGAAATAATTTCAACATCATAAAAAAAAGGAATAGTCTAATCAACAAGTTCAAAAACATGAAAAATGGAGATAAAGGTCCTAAAAATATGAGCGATAGCTCATTCGATTGAGAATCACCTCTAGAAAAGTGTTTTTGAACGATTTTGGTGCAATTGTTATTAACAAAATAAGATTAAAAAAAATAGTATTTAGTTTTTCGTTAATAACTCAAAAAATATTAATATTTAAGCAATTTTAAATAAAGCTCGTTAAAGAGGAGTAAATTTCCGATAAAAAAGTCCTGACTCCCGAAACTCTTTTTACTTTTTCAGAGTAATTGTTCATAACTACCAAAAAGGACTATCCTGGATAGGAAGAACTAACAAATCTCTCTGGTTTGGATTCCTGGTCTTACTAAC